TTTAGAATATCTAACATCACAAACTTAGATATTACATATAACAACTCATTTATTTTAATATCAAATATATCACTCATATCTTTCCTCATCACTCATATATCATTTCTACCACTCATATTTGATATGAAATGAATATTGGTGGTATGTATGTAAATGTAAAGTTTTAGATGTTAATATTATAAATAAAATGATAAAGAGTGATATGTATGTAAATCTCCAAAAAAAAAAAAAAAAAAAAAAGCCTTAGAATGTAAACAATTGTATTTCACTATTTTCTTCTCTCATTCTTGATAGCTGATTGATTGGAAGAAGAGTTGCAGAGCACACCGCAACGTCGCACAAAATCCTACCAATCAGCTTCCCTCCTCCACCGCCATGTCCTGCCATCCACCTGTTCACAATGCACCGCGAAACTCTCCGCTTTATGAATTCTCCAGCTTCGCCTCCACCCACTTCTCATGCATCCTATCTACTGGCTCTCTTAAAGATTCATTCTATCTTCATCCAGCTCACCGTAAAAACGCCGCCGGCGGAGCTTATCGCTATAATCAAACGTCTCCTTCCCTTCACTCTCTCCGCTACCCTCGACACCAGGTACGGTCGTTGTTACCCACTTGCTCCCATCAAACGTCAAGCCAAATTCTGTAAGATGAACTCGTACAAAAGCGGGTGCTTTTATCAAAAAACCAAAACAGCATTGTTGAGCCGATTCCAGTTACCGGCGGACGTCGGCCGTCTGAGCTCCAATGACGTTTCGAAGAGCCGAGAATTCCTTAACAACTTATGAGTCGGTGTCGGTAGGTAATGCCGCCGAATTTGTAGAGGGCGCGCGAGGCGGAGGAGGTGGAGAGGTTTTGGCCGATAGGGACTTCGCCGGGGTTGAGCGCGGCCTTGTTGCAGTCGTCGAACAGCGTTTCGCCGGAGTTTGTGTTGAGGAGGAAGCCAAAGTCGGGGTTATGGACGCAATGCGGAACCAAGGGAGGTGAGGTGTTCAGTAGCTGGGCACCGCAGGGGAGTCCATCGAAGAGGATAGAATAAGGAGGCAGGCTTGGGGGGGAATTTGAAGAATGCTTTCAATGGAAAGAAGTCCTTTGGGAAAATTTTGGTGCTTTGAGATCCAGTTCATGGGAAAACGGGCTGCGCAAGGGGGGATGCCGCGGAAGAGGCGGTGGCGCGAGCGGAGAACGAGAGGGGACGCGGAGATGGGAGCAGAGTACGATTTGGAGCTAGTGTATGCTTTCGCGAGACGTGCAGAAAGTTGGTTTTTTATGTGTTCTTTGAGAATTTGGAGACAGTACGAGTTGGCCGTCGGCGATGGCAAGGATGGAGATGGAGGCGGCGACAGGGTACTCTTGAAGCGGCGAAAGAAGGAGGCCGAGGGACTGTTGCAGGTAAGGAGGACTGCTAACGGAGAAAGAAAGTGACCGGAATGAGAGCAAGTAAAAGGAAAGTCTCTGCCTTTGCCTTGCCATTGACGAAATCGAACAGAAGGAAAGCACGATTAAGAGTGCAGAACAACCATCCAATAGCTCTTTCTTTCTGGGCGATTAAGTGTTTAATGGAGCAAAAATTAATAAAAGCCAAAGACGACTACTATGTCAAACAATTTTTTACATATTAAATCACATATGTGACACGAACAGATATGTTAAAAATGGCGTTGGAGAATTATTAGTCGTTATGTAATATAAAATAATAAAAAATACCATTTCTTATTAATTAATTACTAATTAATGATAGTATGATATTGTTTATATAGCGCACTTCTTCTTCATGCCTCTTTATCATATTTATATCTGCTCCACGAGACAACGCGGGATGCCAAAATGGATGACATGTTTGGATGTCACTGTGATGAACAGAGTAATAAAGAAAACAAATCAATATCAAAAAAGCAAACGAATAGGGCACTTCCATATGGATGAAGTTGTCCAAGAAATGGTATGTTTATTTTAAGAAAATCAACTTAGTTATTAATAAAATATAATATTTGTGCGGATGCCAATATTCGTTACTTGTTCCAGTACCGCGTCGGTACTTGCTAAGTTACCGGCTGAAGTCGGCAAAGTCTGATTTACCTTCGAACGCAGTAGCTGTGTCTGCCTCCGTTACAGAATATTCTCATCATACTGAAAGCATAAAAAGTTTATAGGAGAGTTGCTCAACTACTCTACATCTAATCAGTAACGAAAAATATATTTTTTCTGTTTGAATAAAATAGCTTCAATTTGTGACTTCCTTTATGTGGAGAGAAGGTTAATTTTGAAGATGAAATGAATGAATTTGTGGTTATTATAGAAGGAGAAAAAAAGCGGACTTGCTACTTATTCTTTAAATGTGAACATTCTTATTTTGGTGGTGTCTGAGTATTGAGCTGTAAAATAAGAGGTACTTGAATTTGAGCATGTTTATTGTGCGTGTACTGAATTTGTCTAATTTGATCTTAAATGTCAAAAAAAAAAAATTTAAAAATTTACTACTAAAAATACTTCAGAAATAGCCATATATATTTAGATCTATGAAATTATTTTTAAATAGCTCCACTTTCTTATTTCAATGGAAGTAATTAAACACATGAGTTAGGCTTCATTTGAGACGGCTTTCTTATTATTTTGCAAAACTATTTTTAGGTAATTTTTTTTAAATAGTAAATAAACAGTGATTTAAAGCTGTCTCAAATGAAACATAAATATTAGGGGTGTCAATATTTGACACCACCCGAATCAACCACGAAAATTCTGAGTTATGGTCAACCCGTTTCACAAACGGGTCGGGTTCGGGTTCGGGTTCCAAGATTCAACTTGTTTGAATAAACGGGTAGAGTCTAGATCAATCCGCTAACCCGAAGTTGACACGATTCCTCAACTTCTTCGACGAGCGACAACCGAGGAAAACGACGACGACAAGACTACGGGGAGGGAAGAATGATGACGACGGTGAGCTCGCCTCATTCAACGACATTCCCTCATGTTGGGTCATAACTCGAAAGTCACGACCGATTGGCGACGACGACGAGCTTGTCGTTCTTTTTGTTGGATCGGAAGTAACGACGATGAAGAGACTCGTGAGGGAGGAAAACGACGAATACATGAGGGAAGATTGGTGACGACGGCGAGCTCGCCTCCTTTGATGCTTCGATGATGTTCCTTCCTGTTAGGTCGGAACTCGAAGTCACGACTGCTCGGCGATGATGGCGTGCTCGGTAGTAAAGACGAGGTGGGTTGAGCTGCATTGGTGGGTCATGTCAAGTTGACCCATATCCTAAGTGGGTCGGGTTCAGATCCAATAAAGTGACCCGTTTTAAAAAAAATGGGTCAGATCGGACCAACTCGTGTCGGGTCAATTCCGGATTGGACCCGAACCCAACCTGTGACCCAATTTTACCAATCCTACTAAACATGATAATTAAATGATCAAAACTTTATTTCCATAAATTCACAATCAGATATTTAATACTAATATAGATATTAATGATATTGATGTGTGCAATTTGCACGATCATTTAGATAAAAAAATGAAAAAGAACAAATTCAAAAATCTAATTTCATATGCTCCTTTTCTCCCCTCGCAATTGTAAAAAAAAAGCTCAGAATGTAAACAATTGTATTTCACTATTTCTTCTCTCATTTTGATAGCTGATTTGATGAAGAAGAGTTGCAGAGCACACAGCAACTCGCAAAAATTCTACCAATCAGGCTTCCCTCCTCCACCGCCATGTCTCTGCTCCACCTGTTCCACAAATGCACCGCGAAACTCTCCCGCTTTATATTCTCCAGCTTCGCCTCCACCCACTTCTCATGCATCCTATCTACTGGCCTCTTAAAGATTCCTTCTATCTTCGTCCAGCTCACCGGATAAAACGCCGGCGGTGGCGCTACGCTGAACTCAAACCGTCTCCTTCCCTTCACTCTCTCCACTACCCTCGACACCAGGTACGGTCCGTTTTTACCCCACTTGCTCCCATCAAACGTCAACGCAAATTCTGTAATGAACTCGTACAAAAGCGGGTGTTTTTTATCAAAAACCAAAACAGCATTGTTGAGCCGATTCCAGTTACCGGCGATGTCGGCCGTCTGAGCTCCAATGACGTTTCGAAGAGCCGAGAATTCCTTGACGACTATGACGTCGGTGTCGAGGTAGATGCCGCCGAATTTGTAGAGGGCGGCGAGGCGGAGGAGGTTGGAGAGGTTTTGGGCTATAGGGACTTCGCCGGGGTTGATGCGGCCTTGTTGTAGTCGTCGGAACCAGCGTTTGGCCGGCGTTTGGTTGAGGAGGAAGCCAAAGTCGGGGGTTATGGACGCAATGCGGAAACCAAGGGAGGTGAAGGGTTTCAGTAGCTGGGCACCGGCAGGGGAGTCCATCGAAGAGGATAGAATAAGGAGGCAGGCTTGGGGGTGGAATTTGAAGATGCTTTCAATGGAAAGAAGCTCCTTTTGGGAAAAGTTTTGGTGCTTTGAGATCCAGTTCATGTGGAAACGGGCAGCGCAGGGGGGATGGCCGCGGAAGAAGGCGGTGGCGCGAGCGGAGAACGAGAGGGGACGCGGAGATGGAGCAGAGTACGAGTTGGAGCTAGTGTATGCTTTCCGCGAGACGTGCAGAAAGTTGGGATTTTTATGTGTTTTTGAGGAATTGGGAGACAGTACGAGTTGGCCGTCGGCGATGGCAAGGATGGAGATGGAGGCGGCGACAGGCCTAACTTTGAAGCCGGCGAAGCAGAGGAGGCCGAGACTGTTCCAGGTAAGGAGGACTGCTACGGAGAAGAAAGTGACCGGAATGAAGAGCAAGTAAAAGGAAAGTCTCTGCCTTTGCCTTGCCATTGACGAAATCGAACAGAAGGAAAGCACGATTAAGGAGTGCAGAACAACAATCCAATGCTCTTTCTTTCTGGGCGATTAAGTGTTAATGGAGCAAAATTAATAAAAGCCAAAGACGAGCTACTATGTCAAAACAATTTTTTACATAATTAAATCAACATATATGACACGAACAGATATGTTAAAACATGGCGTTGGAGAATTATTAGTCGTTATGTTATATATAAAATAATAAAAATACCATTTTCTTATAATTAATTACTAATTAATGATAGTAAAATATTGTTATATAGCGAACTTCTTCTTCATGCCTCTTTATCATATTTATTATCTGCTCCAACGGACAACGCGGGATGCCAAATGGATGACATTTTGTTTGGAAGTCACTGTGATGAACCAGTAATAAAGAAAACAAATCAATATCAAAAAAGCAAACGAATAGAGCACTTCCATATGGATGAAGTTGTCCAAGAAATGGTATGTTTACTTTTAAGAAAATCAACTTAGTCTATAATAAACGATAAATTATTATGTGCGGATGCCGAATATCGTTATTGTTCAGTACCGCGGTTCGGTACTGCTAAGAACCGCTGAAGTGGCAACATCTGATTTACCTTCGAACACAGAGCTGTGTCCTGCCTCCGTACAAAATAATTTCTCATCATACTGAAAGCATAAAAAGTTATAGGAGAGTTTGCATCAACTAATCTACATCTAATAGTAACCAAATTTTTTTTTATTGTTTGAATAAATATGTAGCTTAAATTTGTGACTTCTTCTATGTGGAGAGAAGGTTAATTTTGAGATGAGATGAATAAATTGGTTGGTTATATAGAGGAGAAGAAAGCGACTTCTGCTTATTATGTTAAATGTGATTCATCTTATTTTGGTGTGTTGGTTGAGAGTTTATGCTGTCAAATAAAAGGTCTTGAATTTGAGCATTTTGTATGTGACGTGTGTATGAATTTATCTTAATTGATCTAAATTTCAAAAAAAAATTAAATTAAAAAAATTTTCTACTAAAAATTTACTTCAGAAAATAGCGAGGAACCTATTCCAAACGAGTCAAAGCTATAGTTAAAATAGCATGATCTTTATATAATCATTTCTTAGTATGAAATATTTTATTCTTCTTCAGAAATTATATAACCCCTTTTTATTGCTTTCTAATTATTCAGGATGCGTACAAAAATGTTAGTTATTTCCAGTCATATAAAAATTAGTGTATGTTTGTGATGCAAGGCAAAAAATTGCCTTTATCGAGCACAAATGTCGAGCCATATTCAACTTGAAAATTTTTAAAATTAGATTTGAGATCATTTGAGCTATTTTAGCAAATTTATAGTCAAATTGAATGTCTCAAAAGGAGGAACCCAACAACATTAAAAACGGTCCAATCCAAGACCAAATGAATCTAAATCAAGGGATTGAAGCATATTTGAAAGATTCAAAGCATACATTGGATGATCAGATGATATCCAAATATAATATGCTTATAGTCAAATTGAGCAGCTCGGCGAGATGAATCCAACAACCCTAAGAAAGGTTGATTCCAACATCATTATTGGCACTTGATTGCTTGATGAACGTTCTATGATTGAGAGAATCAATATGAGCAGTTCTATGGACCACTATGATTTTGTCTAGAATCATCTCCATATTTACAGAACATATAGTTTTCAAAAAAAAAAAAAAATCTAAAAATAGACCCTCACTTCCCACATGAAGGGGGGCTTGGAGCTTAAACATATGGCTAGAGATTGGAGAGGGTTTTGAGGCTTCAAGGATCTAAAGCTCCACTCGGGCACCACCGCCATCAAACCTACACCGAACACCGCTCGATGCCAATTGCCGACAGTCGTCGGACTATCGCCTATCAGCCAACCGCCTTCGAACTTCGCCCGACTGCCAACCACCGTCGGACTTCAGCTCGACCATCATCGGATCACCGCTCGGCATCCGACCACTATCACCGCTAACTATGGTCCCTCCGAGCATCGTTGCCCGCCAACTACGGTCCCTCCGAGTATCGTCGCCCGCCAACTACGGTCCCTTTGATCTCCCCACCTGACGACTGGCATACCTCTGGCCAACATTACCTGACGACTACGATCCCTAAAACTTCCCCACCTGTCGAATACGATCCTTCTGACCACCGTTACCTGCCAACTACAATCCGTCAGACCACCGTCCCTCGCCAACGTTATTGTTTAATGTATTGTGTTTTTCTTAAATATCCTTCATTGATGACTTATAAGTTTAATTTTATGAGTTTACCAACATTACAAAATCATGCTGTAGTAGTTGGCTGCCATTTTCTAATTAAGAGTCGCATATAATCATGTTTTTAATAGGGATTGCTTAGGATGAGGTTAGGATAACTTTTTTAATGATTTACTTTAGAGATTATTATCATATTTTCTTTATTTTAGTATAATTTTAGAATTAATTTAAAATTTAGTTTATAAGAAAAAATATTTTATTTTTTGATTTATAAATACTTCTATTTTTTCTTCATGATAATTTTACAATTATATAGAAAACGGTAGCCGTTCAACTAATGATTCGAAATTTATTTTTCTGTTCAAATGTAAAGAAGTTTATAAAATAAATGGCATAATATTGAGAGAAGCTCATTTTATTTGGGTTTTAAAAACTTTAATATTCAAATTAATTTTTTTTTTCAACACTTAACTTATATTGATGTCATGTTTGAGAGTTTTTTTTTTTTTTTTAAACGGCCCGCAGCCACTTTAAAGGGAGTGTTTGACAACGTAACTAATTCCTCGGCATAACTTAGCGAGAGCACCCACTGTCATCGGGCTCACACTTGCTTTGCCCCATTGAAGAGGCGAGTCCGTAGTAGAGGGTATTCAAACTCGTGATGGGAGGTTCCTAACCGTGCTCACCCATCAACCACCCTAAACCTCGGTGGGGGATGGTTGAGAGTTTTGACTATCAATTAAGAGATCTTGAATTTTGAATTTTAAACTTGCATATATTATGTGAGTTTACCTTAATTGTCTCATCAGTCGCAAAAGAAAGAACAAATTAGAGGTCATTCAAACTCAATTTTCAATAAAAAATTATAGTCAAAATGAGCATCACGGCATGATGAATTTACCCTAAACCCTAAAATAGCTTACTTCTAACATCATCAATGCCATAAGATGTTTAAAAGCCTTTGCATGAGCCAAAAAGGATCAGCACGATCCAATAAAAATGTTAAGTTTATGATGGAAATGGTTATAAAGCCGATACATAAAATTATGTATAGGCTCTCCTTTGGCACATTTGAGGATGAGTTGAAATGAGGCCACAACGATTTCAGATGAGAGTGTATAGAGCTATCAACCAGCACCTAACAAGTAACATCCAAGATCGTTAACAATTTTCACGCCCATTATGGCCACAAAAAGTTTATCCTCGCGGTTAACAACAAAGTCAATGCATGTCATTAACACCAATGCTTATGTTTGCCATCGCCGGCAAAGCAAACATCTGTCATCTCTACTAATGTTGACTTTCGCCACTCCATCGAAGTCAATGTTGATTGTTGCTATTAAGATTGACACTTGTCATCGACACCAACGTCATTTTTATTGTTGAAACAAATGCACATGCATGCGCCATCATTAATTTGAAGTTAATATTTGTCATCGCTAGCAAGGCTGATAATCATCATCACTAATAAGATAAACACTTGTTAGCAACACCTACTTCTACTCATGTCTTTAACAATAAGAATGATGCGTATTATTGTCACTAAGGTTGATGCCTATTGACATCACTGTCAATGTCGACAAATGCCAATAAAGTCCACACTAGCTATTGCTACCAATGCCTCATCATTATTTAGGTTGATGCTCTCTTTTCTAGTTACGAGTATCCACTCATATATGGAAAATGATAGAACAAAATATCAATCTTCAACTTAAAATCAGTAAAATTTATCCTAAGTAAAGCCTTAGGTTTCATTTGAGACAGAATTCAACCACTATTTTTTGTTGTTTTTTTTTTTAATTGTACTAAAAAACTTGGGAAATTTACATACATACCACTTTATAACAAAAAACTTTAGTAGAAAGTAGTAAAAAAATTGTCAGAGGAACCAAGGTGGTCGATGGGAAGGTAGTCGGCGAGCGACGGTGGTCGAAGGGACCATAGTCGGCCGGTTACAGTGATCTGAGGGACCGTAGTCGATGGGCGATGAATCTCTGAGGGATCGAAGTCTATGGATGATTGAGGTCAGAGCAACCATAGTCGGCGAGCGATAGTGGTTTAAAGGACCATAATCGACGAATGACAGAGGTTGGAGGGACAATACTTGGCGGGCGACAGTGGTCAAAGGGATTGTAGTTGACGGGCAACAGTGGTCGGAGGGACTGTAGTCAACTGGCGACGGAGGTCGGAGGGACCGTAGCTGGCACATGATGGAGGTCGAAGGAATTGAAGTTGGCGGACGACTGAGGTCAAAGCGATTATAGTTGATGGGCGACAACTATCTCAGGAACTGTAGTCATAGACAACGGTAGACAAATGGACCGTAGTCGGCAGGCGACAGGGGTCGCAGTTGGCGTCCTACGAAAGTCGGAGGGATCGTAGTTGACAGTAGCAATGGTCAGATGGATCGTAATCAACGGGCGACGATGGGTGGAAGGATTGCAATCAACATGCAAATGGTAAAATCAATGTCAAAATAATAAGTCTATAAACCATAAGATACAATATTTTTTTTGACATTTACTATATTTTTAGCAAGAATAGAAATGCTAGTCCAAGATGGAAGTTTATTATTATTATTATTATTATTAAAATTAGTGTTTCTAGAGAAAAAAGCAAAGAATTAGCAAGATAAAACCACAAAATATATAAGAGTATGAAAAGCTATGAGTTTTTATTTTAATTAATTAGCAATCCATTTAAAGTAGAGAATTAGGTTGGGCTTTTTTTGGTGAGAATTGGGCATCATGGTAAATTGTAGGGGTGTCAATATTTGACACGATTCAAAAAATAGGCCTAAAAATTATACATTCAGATTAACATGTTTGAAAAATGGATTGTGTTTAGCATTCATATTCTAACCTGATTGCAATTTTAGGTCGGATTTGATTCAACCTAAGAACCCAAAAGCAACGCCAAATTGACCCGTTTGCTCAGGGACAACCTGAAATCCCGCTCGCGCTCGCTCGCTTGCCCAAGACACTCAATCGGTTCAGAGGATCGGGTCATGACGGGTCTGGTTGGCGTTGGGTTGAGTTCATGTCCAAACTTACAACCCAATGACCTAATCTATTTGGGTTCGAGTTAGATGAATTGAAATCGGGTTAATTCCAAGTTAGAGTTGAATCCAACTCGAAAACTCATTTTGACATCCTAATAAATTAAGGAAGGGAAAACTCCTAAAAATTAGCATTTTCTTTCTTTATTTATTTATTTTTTAAAGTATAGAAATTTGCCCACTCAGGAGCCAATGTGATTCCACATTTCCACCCTTGGGTAGAAGTCGCAACGACTGGGAAGGAAGATGAAAATACTTACATATTATAAGAAACGTTTAACATGGTAACATATTATAGATTGTAAAACAAGAGATTGAATTGTATTATTTTTAAAAGTTGGTAGGAAACTTGCAAATGATCTTATAGTGTGTAGTATTAGGCTTCGTTTGGGACGGTTTTTTTATTGCTTTCTAAAACGGAGTTTTAGTACAAAAATAAAAAAAATTGTACTAAAACTCCGTTATAGAAAACAATAAAAAAGCCGTCCCAAACGGAGCCTTAAAAAACATGCAAAAAAATCTCAAAATAATTCCTAGATTATCCGTGTGCAGTCAATTTAATCTAAAATATTATGTTGCCCCAATTTAATCCCCCAACTATACAAAATTGATCCAAAATGATACCACATGTTCTAATTGTGATTGTAAGTGATATGACCTCAAGTATTGTGATAGACTATCTGGGTCTAGACTCTAGACTATAAGCACTCTTTCTGAAACTCTTTGAAATATATGAATGTGATGACTAACAATGGACAACTTAACCAAGATTCAATGATACAGCCCGTACACGCAATATGATCCTTCCTCATTTTGTATTTCTATCGATCTGTTCCTATAATCAACAGAATATTGCTATAGCATTAGACTTACTTTTGCTGATGAACTTCACCAATATAGCCGAGAACATCCTTATTGCTCAAAGATTTGTTTTCCCTCGGGACTAAATGCTCTACATCTCCAAGCTCCACTTCACCCGCTTGCCATTCTCTGCCACTCTGAAACAAATTCTCTATTTGCTCCAGAGATTTCCCCTTTGTCTCGGGCACAAGATAGTGTACAAATACCACAGATAGTGCTGCTACAGAAGAGAAGATAAAAAATGTTCCTGCCACTGAGATAGCTTTAGTCAAGGAAAGGAAAGTCATGGCAATTAGGCCACTGCAAACCCTGTTACCAACTGCCCCTATGGCACACGCTTGAGCTCTTACCTTTAGAGGGAAAATCTCTGAGCTCAACACCCAGCATATTGGACCAAGTCCCACAGAGAAGAAAGCCACATTGCCACATACAGCAAAGATGGCCCCCATGATCCCTACCTTTGATGAGACCAATTCAGCCGCAAGCAAAGCAAGAGAAAGTGCTAGCCCGAAAAGACAAAGTGTCATCCCAATTGTGCTAATATAAAGTAATGGCCTCCTTCCAACTCTGTCAATTAGGACAATGGCAACCAAAATGAAAATTGTTTTGGTAAAGCCAACAGCAACAGTTGCTGCAAGGATTTTACTGTCAGATTCAATCCCTGCGTCTCTGAATATCGTTGGACTGTAATATACAGAAGCATCTATTCCTGAAATCTGCTGGAAGCATTGTATGCCAAATCCAGTAATCATCATTCGGCGAAGAGATACAGAAGGATGCAACAACTCCTGCCAGACAACCTTCTCCTCATGCTTCTCCATGTTTGAAGTTCCAGCAGCTTCTTGAATATCTGCTAGTCTTTGCTCAGCCTCTGCTGCATTATCACTTACCTTAAGGAGCACGGACCGCGCTTCATCAACCCTTTTATGCATAACCAGCCACCTGGGAGACTCTGGGATCACAAAAAGTGCACAACCGATAAAGATTGATGGGAGAATTCCAACTCCAAGCATTACTCTCCAACTCAAATGTTTTGAAAGACCAGAGAAAGCATAGTTTGATACATAGCCAAGAAGGATCCCAATGTTTATACAGATCTCAGGGAAGGAGGTAAGAGATCCTCGACTGACAGTAGGAGATATTTCAGCAATGTATACAGGCGCGATCATGACGCCAAATCCTATTCCAATTCCTGCCAAAAGCCTGCCAATCATCAACAAGAGAAAATTGGGAGCACAAGTCATTATAGCAGCACCCATTTGGAAAATTATAGCAGCTAAGCCTATAGTCCATTTCCTCCCAATGACATCAGATGTTATTCCACCAGCCAAGCTACCCAGAATGGAGACAAAGCTCAAAGACCCAACAAGAATTTCTTGTTGAACTTCTGTTATTTGCAAATCCTTCTGAATATAAATAATAGCGCCGCTCATAACCCCGACATCTGAAAAAAAATAAGTTCATGATTCAGCACAAAGTTTTTCCACAAAAAACAAGAAGAGAAAACTGAATCGGGCCTTAAAAAAGGTCACTTTTTTTAGTTCTAGCGTGGTGTTTATGTGAATCCTATTGTAATTACTCTACTAATTACAATTGGATTCACATCAGATGTAGGATGCAAAAAATAACTCTAATAGACATTCAACCCATATGAATCATCTTCATCATCTTCATAGAGCTGATTGAGAAGTAAAATAAAATTGCCATTTCAAAAAATATCATGCATTTGAAAGAAGTAACAATTTTTTAACGTGATCATGACAATGAGGCAACAAGACTTAAACACCAATGGGTAAATCTGCATCCGAACAATAGGAAAATCGTCATTTATTGAAGAACAGCTGAACAAAAACTAACACCATAAATTTCCCAAAATATTTCCTGGAATCTGGATGCCTTGGTTTCTGATCTTTCATTAATGGGTTCATTCTCTTTATTAAACGTGAATATACAGAGCAAGATTTGTAATAAAAATGCCAAAAATCTAACCGCTCTAGGAGCGAGATAACTAAAGTTTCATAGATGGCATAAAGTCAATTAACAAGGGAAGCCCTACCAGAGAGTTAATAATATCGAAATAGTGAAAAATAAGGAATCGAGATTTAGCAAATTGTTTGATCCATCAGCAACAAAAGCCCAAAAAGGGGGGGGGGGGGGGGGGGACCTAACGCAACTTCTACCAACCAGCTAAATTCTAGAACTAAAACTTTTTAAACCTAACGCAACTTCTACCAACCAATCTCCCAGATCTTGTATCCAATTAGACCGCCTGTAAAAAAAAAATCCAAACTCAACAGGACAGCAGATCAAAACCCAACCACTCGTACCATTATAAGAAAGAGGAAATCTTATCAAACCAGGCAGATCGCCTTGTTGGGGCTTTCAATGTACCCAGATTATCATTAAATTATAAGAAGATCTGAAGTTGATAGATAGGAGATACTGGAATGACGACTTCTCACCATAGCCAAGAAGAACAGAATTGAGAGAAGCGAAGATGGCACAGACTAAGACGTACTTTCTACAGTCGCCGCTACCACTGTACGTTTCGAATATGTTACTCTCCTGCTCATCTTCCTCAAGCTGGGCGTCCATTCTCCGGTACTTTCCCGCTGACAGCTTAGGAATCCCATTCCCACTTCCATTTCCCATCACCGGTGAATCCACTGCCCCCATCCCCGTCCTGTTGTCGCTATCTATGGCAAATACTCGCTTAATAACTGCAGGTGGATAGAGTCCAGGGAAAAGGATGAAAGATCTTAACAGGGGAAGCGCTGCGCAATGGGAGAGGGGGCTTCCGCTCTCCGCTTCCTAGATCTGAAATTAAGAATAAGATCTTCTGGTTTTTTGATTCGGTCTCCATGGAAATTTGTAGCTGGGCTTTCTGAAGGCGCAAGAGGTGAATTTGACCTTCACATTGCTCCCTTGTTTATTTAAAAAAAAAAAATTTGCATGCAACCTCAAAACTTTTGTGTATTTATGTCTCACATTAAAATGTTATATTTACTATAATACTTAAATCATATTAATCACAAAATATATTTAATAAAAA